GGGGGGGGGGGGGAGGAAATAGTACGATACCTGGCATCTTCTTTTCAAACTTCTATTAGTCCTCTCACATCTTTCCAGTTTTGAAACCACTATAAGAATCTTGGTGAGTTGCTTTACTCTATGTGTTTTAATCACCAACCTTTCCAATTACTCCAAAAGAAAAAAGAAAAAAAAATCTAGGATGTTTTGAAGGCATAGACACTTCCAACCTATTCCTACGAAGGAAACAACAGAATAACTTCATCTACGACCACCGCTTACCCCTTTTTCTACAATTATTCCAGCTTAAGAAAAAGAAGAAGAAAAAAAGGATCATTTTTCCACCCTACTCATACCAAGGATAAAACAGAATTATGTGCATGCAACTACCGCTAGAAAATTTTGTTGTTATCCTTGCCTTAAAAAAAAAAAAAAAAAAAAGAGGGCTACGGATCACTCAGCAGCCATCGCAAAAGTTTCTCGGATCAAAGGCTTTGCTAAAATAATAATAATAATGAAATATATATATATATATATATATATATATATATATATATATATATATATATATATATATATATCACCAGCCCGTACGTACGGAGGTCCCCGGGCAGACCTCCGTACGTACGGGCGTTCGGGGTTCCGTACGGGGTCTGAACCCGACGGCGTTCGGCCCCCGCCAAAAAATATTTCGGGGCCTAAAAATAACTATTTGTTTCTGAATTGTTTTTTGTGAGTTCACTATTACGTGAGGTACATTACTGTAAATTTTCAAGTCAGTTGAATAAGCCAAATAGGAATTAAAAATCGCCAAAGATGGCTGTGTCAAAACGTGCTCGCCAACATATTTTTTCACTTTTTACTTTTTGTTTTCACTTTAGTTCGGGGTCTAAACAATTTTATTATTTTTTGAAACTTTTTTAGTGGGTTTTGTATTATGTGAAGTACACATCTGTAAATGTTCAGGGCATTTAGTTATGCCACAAAAAAAATGAAAAATCGCCAAAGATGGCGGTGTCGAAAACATGCTCGTGCACTCACTAAATTTAATTCTCTTTTTATTTTTATTTATTTTTATTATTAGTATTTATTTTCTATATTTTACTTTTATTTCAAATTTGGTAAGGAGTTCGGACGTAATGCTCAGGCAAATCTTGTTCAATTTATTTTTCTCCATAACATATCTTTTTTTCAGATGTTTTTTATGACATTTTTTTTTTTTTTTTTTTTTTTTCCGTTGGTCTGCTGTCGGCGCAAATACCCTTACAAGGGTATCCGCCCTGGTCTCTGCAAGTGACAGAGAGGAAGAGTCTGAATTGAAAGATCGAGTGTGCCACGAGAGGCATGGCCACGGCTGTAACTTACCTCGGCTAGGATAGCGGGCGAGTGAGCGCGTAAGTTTAAGACGCGCGTGTGATTTGTTTTATGGGTTGTGATGTTTGGCATAAGTTGTCCGGCGTGATTTTTTTGATTTTTTTTGTCTTATCCCATATGTTTGGCCGGCGGTGGTCTTGCCATGCGGGATCGCGCACGCAGTAGCCCTGACACAGTTCGCGCAAGCCGGTACGGAAGTCTGGTAGGTGTATGTTTGGTCGTAAGTAGGGAAATAAGGCCCAGACTGTGCGTTTGGGCCTGAGCGCGGCGATGTACTGCTTTGTATGAGACTTCGAGCCTGCTGATCTCAGGCTTGGGCTTAGCCCTATAGGTTACGACACTGGACTGTTAGTACGAAGGTATGGGGATCGAGCCCAGCGGGCGGCAGCGCGGGGTATCTCCCTTAGTTTTGTCGACGGGCGAGACAACGGTGTCGAGCGCATCGGTCCGGCACCGCATCAGGGCAGCGCGGGACCCTCTCGGGTGCGTCACGCAGGAGTTGGTTTATATCCTTCGTCGCAAATATACATGAGGAGCTTCCTTAAGCCGCTCCGGCCGAGTGCGCCAGCCATACCTCTCGCGAACCCCTACGACAGGATAGGGCCTACGCGAGGCACGACTTACCTACACCTTACGGGAGCTGTCACCTCCCTTCGGTGGGTGTATCCCCGCCGAGCTACCAGTCCACAATACGAAAACTAATCAGTTGCAATCACATAGGTGAACCAGACGAGGGCGTTTCTCGTTCGCTGTAGCATAGGGGGTACGCGCGGTAATACGCCTCTATCGGACCCGCACGCGAACCGTCATCTTGGGGGGCTGAGGTCCCAAGCGCGGTTCGTCGCCGGTCGACTAGGACGCATCCCACACACCACGCGCACACCACTTTACGAACACAAAAATAAAACCCACACACACATACGAGACAACACAATATAAACAACGCGACAACGCTCCTAGCCCCTCGGTAGCCGCCCCATAACTTCCTGATATGGAAATCGGATAGGCGTCGTGCGCGATACTTTAATATAAATCCGGGCGGACGCAGGGCTATCGCATATCGACTTGCAATGCAAACGTGCGCAAGCAGTCGCAATGAAGGCGTACTATGTGGTACCCATACTCACGCGATCCTTGTTAATCGCGAGGGTCGCATTCGACACTCAAGTGTCGGCTGACACGCGCCTTGAGGGTTAATCTCTCGACGCTGGGCAACCGCCATGCGCGATTGAAGACCACACCCTCTTCTGCACCCTGTGCAGTGCACCCTGTGCAGAGGGGTTGAGTAGACAGCTTTAAGCTGTCGTGGTGGTCGAACGTCAAGGAGTTTGACTTTGACGGCTGCCACGGACTATAACGTCCAACTATAAAACTCCAAAGAGCAAAAAAAATAAGGAATAGGCCGAAGGTTCCCCGCCTAGTAAACAAAATCATAGCCCTGGGGTACCCTCCCTTCTGCGCGGCGTTGGCGACCTATAACAATCTCAAACATCTGTCCATATGTGTCGGTCCCTTTGCAATCCCATAACTCTTTACACACTAGGGTGGTAAAATCGTCGCGCACGGAATTTTAATATAAAGTCGCGCAGCCGAGGGCCTATCTCATACCAACCCGCGATGCAGGCGTACTCATGCAGTTGCAACGATGACGTACTATGTAGTGCCCATAATCAAGCGGTCCCTCGTGGATCCGAGCACCGCTTATGACACTCAAGTGTCAGACTCGAGGTGTCGTGGGGGTCTGATCCTTCATGACATTACACGGCTGAAGGAATAGCCATGCAGCCGCTACGAGACCTCCGGCCTTTGGTCTGAGCGTCTTGGTAGGCAAGGCAAATAGGCTCTGCGCGAGGAAAAACCCCTTCCCTGTAGAGCCTAGGGATTGGGATGTCCTGGACAAGGACCTCGAATCCCGGCCCAGGACCAACGTCCGACTAAGAAAAAATCCTTAAGAAGTAAAACCAATAAAGGGAAGGGCCTTTCCTAGGCCTCTTAGTCTTAACCCCTGAGCAGGCTTTTAATATGGGGCCCAATAGCCAATGCAAATATTCACCCCAAGTATACCCATATATATACATATATAACAAGGGGAAGTATGTGACGATCACTTCTCACAGTCTCATTGGGGTCCCTCACAACCATACATATATATGTGATCGCAGGCAACCACATCCAGAATCTGATTCATAACACATACCTGCGAATCACATTAACGAGTCAATCAACAGCCCACGCACTACACGGAGTTAACCCCAACCATCTTCAACACTCATACCCCTCACTTTAGCCATGCAAGCCCCAACCTCCTGTCCAACCAACCTTAATTAAATACTCAGTACCTCTGTTAAATGGTCATTCAATAAAAGTCCGGGTGAAACCATAACGAAACAATGAAAATCACCAGGGCTAAAGCCTTTTAGGTTGGGTGTGGAGGGTGAGTTGGAATTGAGTCGTAAACCGACGAA